GATAAGGAGGCTTCTGCTTCAATTCCCACTGCCCCACCACATATCCAGAAAAGGCACCCTACTGCTCAGGTTATTGGAGACATCACTGATGGTCTGAAAACCAGAGGCAAATATGTCCCAGGTCAGTATCCTATGTCTCCCAAGTTGAACCAAAGTCTTATAAAGATGCTCTTAAAATTGAAGAATGGGTGTTTGCTATGATTGAAGAATTAACTCAGTTTGAGCATCTTCATGTCTGGGATCTAGTTCCTCGCCCTTTAAATGTAACAATTATTGGAACTAAATGGATTTTTTGAAATAAATCGGATGAATTAGGCATAATTATACGCAACAAAGCTAGATTAGTAGCACAAGGCTACTGTCAAGAAGAAGGAATTGACTATGACGAGACATTTGCACCTGTTGCACGTCTTGAGTCTATTAGACTTCTTTGTGCTTTTGCATCATACATGGGATTTCCTCTTTTTCAAATGGATGTCAAGAGTGCGTTCCTAAATGGAGTTATAGAAGAGGATGTGTATGTTGCTCAACCACCTGGTTTCATAGATCATAGGTATCCTGATCATGTTTTTAAGTTAAACAAAGCTCTCTATGGACTTAAGCAAGCCCCTCGGGCTTGGTATGATCGGTTGACATCTTTTCTTCACGATCAGAAATTTGTCCAAGGATCAGTTGATAAGACTTTGTTTATAAAACATGAATCTAGTGATCTACTTCTTGTTCAAATCTATGTTGATGACATAGTGTTCGGATCTACTAATACTCAGATGTGCTCTTCCTTTTGTGAGTCTATGAAAAGTGTTTTCGAAATGAGCCTTATGGGAGAAATAAAATACTTTCTTGGCTTACAAATTAAACAAACTTCACATGGTACCTTCATTAGTCAATCAAAATATGTGTCTACTATGCTTCAAAAGTTTGACATGACTACCTTGAATGCTTGCCCAACTCCTATGGCCACTAATGTCAAACTTGATTTAGACGAAACTGGTGAATTGATTGATGAATCTAAATATCGTGGCATGATAGGTTCTTTGCTCTATTTAACGGCTAGCAGACCTGATATTCAATATGCTGTGTGTCTTTGTGCTCGCTTTCAGTCTCAACCAAAACAGAGTCATTTAACAGCAGTAAAACGTATTTTTGGATACCTCAAAGGCACAAGTGATGTCGGGATTTGGTATGCTAAGCAAGATCAGTTTGATTTTCTTGGTTATACTGACTCCGATTTAGCTGGGAGTCTAACTGATCGAAAAAGCACTTCTGGCTGCTGTCAATTTGCTGGTACTTCGTTGGTGTCTTGGTTTTGTAAAAAGCAAGGAGCTGTGGCTCTATCCACGGCAGAGGCCGAATATATTGCCGCTGGCAGCTCGTGTGCTCAGCTCCTTTGGCTTAAAAGTCAAATGAAAGATTATGGGTTGCAAGTTTCCTCTATCCCTTTGTACTGTGATAATACTAGTGCTATTTGCATGACTAAGAATCCGGTTCAGCATTCACGAACGAAACATATTGATATTAAATATCATTTTATTCGTGAACTTGTTAAGGAATGCCTTATTTCCCTGCATCATATTCCTATGGAATTTCAGTTGGCCGATCTGTTTACTAAGCCCCTTGCCGCTGATCGCTTTAATTTCTTATGCTATGAAATCGGGCTTCGCTCGCTGTCATCTCTCACCGAGATGATAGGGGATACAGGATCCTGAGCTGATTGCTTGGGATGCCTCTGTATTGTAATATTTAGTTTCCTTCTCTTTGTGCTTTTAATGTAGTGTCTTTTCAATTTCTGCCTTGAATTCTTGAGTTGCCTCGTTTGTGGTTGTTAGGGTTAGGTGTTTTCGTCCTTCGATGTTTCTTTCTTTTTCCTGCTCTGTGTGATTTGGTAAGTTTTTTTGCTTTCCCTCCTTTGGTGGTTTCCTTGCAGTATTTATAGGTTTAGTAGCTTCGTCTGTTCTATCACTGTTCTCTTCAAAGTCTCTTTTATTTTAGCCATGGCCCTTCCCTTTCTTCGAACCTTCACAGGAACTATGTTTCTGGATCCTATTCCAGCCAATGCCCATCGTCACACTCTGTTTTTTGAAAACCGTCAGATTTTACCCACCTATCATGTTCAACTTGATGAACTGGCTGAGGTAGGACTTGATGTGCGTTCTTTTATCCAAAATCTTGGCTGGAATTTTCTTTTATACCACCCGTTTTCAACCATAGTTTGTCCTGCTGCAGTCCGTTTCTTTTAATCAAACCTTCGATTTACTGCTGTGCACTCCCGTTTTTTCACCACCCTTGTCTTTGGAAATCTTCTCACTGTTCCTGTCGCTGAGATTGAGCGTGCTCTTGACATCCCTGTCAATGGTGAGAATCTTGCAGACGAGTCTGAACTCGGTCTGTTCAACTTTGATCTCACTGAAGAATTCCATCAGCTTACCGGTCAGTTTCCTGGTCCAAATCTCTCTATGCCTGTCACTGCCTTGTTACCTTCCCTCAGAGCTCTCCATTTTTTCATCTCGCGAGTGTTCTTACCTCGCTCTGGAGATCTGATGATGATAACCCCTGTTGAACTTTGGGTCTGAGCTCATGCTACTCATGGCATCCCTCTAAGCTATGCTCCCTTGTTCTTTGGCTCTGTCATCTCCTTCTGTGATGTGAACAATTCTTCACCCCTTCCATTTGGCTGTCTCATCACATCTCTCCTTCTGCGCCTGCGGGTTAATCTTCATCCCTTCGAAACCATCACCCCTTCCCTTTATCTCACTGCCGACAATGTTATGGATCTTCTGGAAATAGCAGTTGAGGGGGAGAATGGCGCCAACCACATACTAGTTATCAGCAGTGACTCCGACTCTGACTCGTCTAGCAGCAGCTCGGATGATGCACCAGAATTGGAGCCATTTGCTGCTGCTCTTCGTGCTCTTTATGGATCTGATTCAGACAACGAAGAAGCATAGCATCAGAAAGGAGCAAGTTTTTCGTAGAGATTATCCTTAGGGGGAGCAGTTCGTTTCTATCCTGTCTGTCTTTCTGCTGTGGTTCCTTGTGTGAGACTGTGGTTTGCCTGACCTGGCTGTGGTCGTGAATAGTGTTTTATGAATGTTGGATGATTGCTGGTTTGCCTGACCTGGCTGTGGTCTGAATGGTTGATATTTAAATGTTTGTTTGCTTTGATCTAGTTAAGATATGGTTTGCTTTGATGTCACTCTGTTGGGTGGAGAAAGTTTGTTATTTCTTGCAGGATCAATAGGCAACGCGCTATTTCCAACTTAGGGGGAGATTGTTGGAGAATGGAAAGTCGGAAATCACTCGAAGGAAATCAAGCCGGCTGCAATAGTTTCCTAAACTGCAAAAGTTACTTTCCTTGAAAGAAATTCAAATGCAACGGTCGGCCAGCAAAGGGTATTTATACCTCTCATGAAGAACAGTGATCGTGGCTTTTGCAAGAAGTGGTATAGGGCTGATTGCATAGTGGGTTAATCACTACAGAGGCACAGGATCTGTTTGATTAACGGTGTAACGGGTCTGGGATTGGGATCCGGATGATTTTACATTTTTGTTGTTTCATTGTTCTTGAGTCTGCTAGTTTTTATCCATTTGCTTGATAGGTTAAATCAATAAAAATCAGAGTCTCCTAGACCTCAGTGAAGTACTGAGTCTAGGACGAGGACGTACCCGGTAGATTGGGGAACCTCGTTAAAATCGGTTGTGTTGTTGTCTCTTGCTGTGTTTCTCTGTTTCTGTTCTCCCTCTGTTTTTCCAGGTTCTGCATCTGCCTAACACTGGCTTCGTCCTAAGGAAGAAGACGAACTCAGTTGGCCGGGCTGTGGGCCTAGTCTCGAACAGGCCTTAGCCCAAGTTTGGTTTTAAGTCATTTTTATCCCTCTCTGGGCTTGGGGTGTTCCTTGAGCCCATTCGAACGCCTTCAACAGAGAGTGAAAGAGATTCATCATCTCTATCGACTTTCAGTCTCATTTCCCCCAAATCCTTTCTAACCCTAAATTCGATTTTTCATTCTTCCACTGATTAACATAAAATACATTTTCCCAAGAAAATCGGTAATGCCGTCCGGCGTTAACTCTCTGCCGCGGTTAGTATCAATCACTCTCGCCGTTACCATAATTCCAGTCCTAATCAACATTTTTTTTTGTCAAAAGATATCATATATTGATCAGGGCAGAAGATAGTTACACCCTGGAAACCAGCCAGGTCTGGAAAGCAAAGAAGTGACTCATAGTCGGATACAAAGAGAGGGCTTTCCTAGCTACCAAATGAGCTACCCTATTGTTCTCCCGACCTACAAAACGTACACTAAAGCCAGACTGAGCACTCAAATATTGAACAATCTCTTCAAGCACAGCACCCAACCAGCTATCTCTTGTGTCGGCCTGATTAATTTTGTCAATCATCACCTTCACATCGCCTTCCAATCGGACCGCCGACAAACCTTACTCCATACACCAAATAATAGCCTCCCGAAGCACAAGCAATTCCACCACTGCAGGATCATCCATTTGAGCAAACTGGATCCCTCTAGCCAGTAAGAGTGTCCGCGCTGGGTCAAAAAGAACCATCTCACCAGCCGAATGAGACCCACCCTTAGTAGCTCCGTCCCACATGCAAACCAAATGGGAATCATCCAATTGTGCTGTAGAGCGCATTATCGGGACTTGTGCCCTAGGCACCTGGTCCGCTGGTAGCCCCACCCATTCCTCATACTGCTGGTTAAACTGGCGCATGAGTGCTGGGATCCCAAATTGCTTGCCTTCAAAGACCACCCAATTCCGAGATCGCCAGATCCTCCAAAGGATGGCAACAACAGCCATAACCACCGACGGGTGATGGATCAAACCCAACAGACGTTTGAGAAACAAAGAAAAAGTCTGTGAGGCAAACCATCTCCCAAGTAATCCAGCCCAGAATAATCCCAGAGAGCACGCGCCACTGGACAATAAATGAACAAGTGTTCCATTGTCTCAGGGCCATCCCAACAAACTGAACACCAAGATAGCACCTGGACCTTTTTCTCAATAAGCGCCTCCATAGTCGGCAGAAATTCCCACATGAAATTCCCCATTTTCTCGGCATCCAAGCAGCCACACAGCTTAAAGATTTGGACAAAAACAAAGCAGCCGCACAGCTCAAATTCCCGATCCTAATCCCACAGAAATAGACCCTACTGCCGCCGCCATGGACGGGACTAGGCACAGGAATCTGAGCCTCAACGGGATAAACGTCCACGTGGCGGAATTCGGTCCAGCCGACGGCCCCGTCGTCCTCTTCGTCCACGGGTTCCCGGAGCTCTGGTACTGCTGGCGCCACCAGATGACCGCCGTGGCTTCCCACGGGTACCGCGCGGTGGCGCCCGATCTACGAGGCTTCGGCGAAACGGAAGCGCCGGCCGATCCCGGGAGCTACACGGTGTTCCACATCGTCGGCGACCTCGTGGCGCTGATCGACGCGGTGGCTCCGGGGCAGAAGGTTTTCGTGGTCGCCCACGATTGGGGAGCTTCCATGGCTTGGTATCTGTGCTTGTTCAGGCCCGATAAGGTGAAAGCGCTGGTCAATATGAGTGTTCCGTTCAGTCCCCGGAACCCTAATCGAAAACCCCTTTCGTCGTTGAAGGCTTACTTGGGCGATGAATACTACATGTGCAGGTTTCAGGTGCTGTTACTCCTTCTTCTTCTTCTTCTGTTGCTGCTGCTCTCTCTGTCTCTGTATAATTGGTGGTGCCACCTTTGGGGCGTGATGATTGATTACTGTTAGATTGATTAGAAAGCTCGGCTCTTGATTGATGTAGTGTTCAGTAATGGAGTCAAGTTTACTGAGTTCGAACTTGATTAGTCCAAAAGAGAGTGCTTATGGGGCATGATATGGTGATTGGTACACTGCTCTCAGGATTGAATTCTCACTCACTGAGATTTTGAGGAAAATTTCAACGGTGGTTACTCACAACAAGCCACTCAAACCAGACAGTACAATTGAGGTTTAATAGGATTTGAATTCAACAGTTTGAAGACATCTAAGCGTATAACATGATCAATTCGTTCCAATAATTCGAGTTGTTTGTATTTCTATGACGCTGATTGAGGAAAATGGGTGCAAACTTTCGTTGGTTTGATTTGTTCAGGAGCCAGGGGTGATAGAGGCAGAATTTGCAGAGCTAGATACAGAGAGCATTATGAAGAAGTTCTTAGCTTACCACACCCCAGCTCCCCTTTACATGCCCAAGGGCAAGCTATTCGGCCACTGGCCCGACACACCAATCGCCCTGCCACCTTGGCTGTTGGAGGCAGATCTCCAGTACTACACGGACAAGTTCAAGAAGACGGGCTTCACAGGAGGACTGAACTATTATCGAAACATCGACCGGTAAAATAAGTTCTCTACCATATGTTCTGTTCTTTCCAATTCTCGTGCTGGGCTTTTTTGAACATGGTGTGGGTTTGTTGTCGCCTTTGGTTCCCAGGAACTGGGAACTGACTGCACCATGGCAAGGAGACCAAGTGAAAGTACCGGTGAAGTTCATCGTCGGAGATCAGGACCTTACCTACAACACTGGAAATGCCAGGGACTACATTAGCAAAGGGGGTTTCAAGAGGGACGTTCCGTTTCTGCAGGAAGTAGTTGTGATGCCAGGCGTCGGCCATTTCCTCCAAGAAGAACGGGCCGCCGAGATCAGCTGCCACATCGTCGAGTTCATTCGCAAGTTCTGATTCTTCGGTCAGTGATCTGAACTGTATGCTTGTTGTATGTACTGCCAGAAAGATGTTCATGAGTGTGGTTGCAAACTTGTTGGCCAGTCAATGCCTCAAATAGGGAAAGCGTCTGTAACTTGGCGGATACAGAGTGACGTGTCTTTACTTGCAAGCAAAGTAGGCATATATAAATAAATAAAGATCCATGTGTTCACAGATATAGCTCGTCTATTCCCTTTTGTCTTCCTCGCTGATGGGAACCCTGCGCTGCAGGTTTTCGTGTAAATGAGTGGCTCATAATTATGAACAAAGTTTCTTAACCACATAATATGATGAATGTAGTTTTCGTAACCTTATATTCCGGTTGCAAAGTCATTTGAATTGCCCGATTAAAACCTGTCACGAACTTTGAATAATTATGTTGCAGCTCCCTCCAGCATTGTACTATTCCCTATTTGGGAGATGCCGTCCGCCATTAAGTTTCTCCAGTACTGTACTGATATTTTCTCTACCGTCAACCCCCGACAGCTGCGTCGCTGGTAGCTATAATTTGTTGAGAAGAGGAAGGTGGGCAAGTACAGCGGTAGTAAGTGTTTGTCAGCTTCCAAACAGAGCTCTAAAAAGCTCGCTTTTCCTCAGAAACGAAAGCCCGGCCTGACATGGACGGAATACGCCACAGCAACCAGAGCCTGAACGGCATAAACGTCCACTTGGCGGAGTCCGGCCCCACCGATGGCGCCGTGATCCTCTTCTTCCTCCACGGGTTCCCCGAGCTCTGGTACAGCTGGCGGCGCCAGATGGCCGCCGTGGCTTCCCTCGGTTACCGCGCCGTGGCGCCTGACCTGAGAGGCTACGGCGACACCGATGCCCCCGAGGATCCGGGGAGCTACACGGTCCTCCATGTCGTCGGCGACCTCGTGGCGCTGATCGAGGCGGTGGCGCCGTCGCAGGGGACGGTTTTTGTGGTGGGGCACGGCTGGGGAGCTGCAATGGCTTGCCATTTGTGCTTGATGAGGCCCGACAAGGTGAAGGCGGCGGTCAACTTGAGCGTCCCGTTTGGTCACCGGTGCTCTAATCGGAGACCTATGCCGTCGTTGAAGGCGTACTATGGAGAGGATTACTACTCGTGCAGGTTTCAGGTCAGTAGTAGTACACTTTGTAATAAAATTTTGCAAAATACTTGAAATTTGACGTGGTTTGCTTCAGTGTGCACAGGTCTGAAGACAAGAATACCATGTGCTTAACAAACGGGGTCACCAGGAATGGAGCACAAGACCTTTCGGTCACAGAAGACTCGGATACCATATCAAGAACCAGTTGCTCCCAATAACTCGAATTGTTGGGAAAGGTCTCATCATGAATCATATACTACAACACTAATATGATCAACCAAAACGAACTAGCCTCGAACCAGCAAATATCGCTATAGATATGAGAAACCAAACATACACAAATCCTACATGACTCTAGTGGTCTTGCCTTAAAAATTGCTAGACAAACGAGAGATCTACACCTAACACACCTTGAAACCTCAAATGGCCGTAACAATTTTTTTTAATTGAAAGAAAGAAACCCGCCGCATGCCCGTGTACTGCACACACAGACACCTTTTACTGTACAACGTGACTGAGATTTACTGTTTCAATCTGGCGTGTCCTTCGGTGTGGGCTATTGTTGGGTGAGGCCTCATTGGGATCTGGCGGGGTTTGGGGGGTCGGTCGGGGTGGGACTAGTCGTTGGCTTCTGGTTGGCCTTAGTTGCGGTCGTTTGGTGGCCCGGACGCGCGTTGGTCATCAGAGATCGGTATGTGACTTTGCCCCTGCCCGGCCACGTGGGATGGGGCCTTCAGATGTGCTCAGTAAGTCTTGCGTGATGTCATTGTGTCTGTTAGGGATTCCGGCTGTTGTTCGCAGGACTGTGTTGGAGAAACTTGGCGACTGATTGGCTGCGGTTGGAGGTGCTTTGGGAATGGTGGACAACTGATTGATACCGGTTATTCACCTGAGGGACGGGGCCTTCAGATGTCCTCAGTGAGTCTTGCATGATATGATTGTGTCGGTTAGGGATTGCTAGAGGGTCGTGTTGGGTTGTTGTTCGCAGGACTATGTTGGAGAAACTTGGCGGCTGATTGGCTGGGATTGGAGGTGCTTTGGGAATGGTGGGCGGCTGATTGATACCAGTTATTCACCTGATGGCGGGAGGGTGTCAAAAAGTTCACTGTTTCAAGCACTGTGGACGTCATTCAGTGCCTCGATGCGTGCACTCAAGTGGAGAAGGCCATTTCTCATTCTTTTTGCATGCCTCGATGCGTGCGCTCAGGTGGAGAAGGTCATTTCTCATTCTTTTTGCACAAGAGGACTCATTCTCGGAACGCATTTCCCTCTTTTTTTCTCCCCTCTTTGTTCTCTGTGGTTCAGTCGTTGTTTTCTCGCCTTTTTCCTCGCCATGGATGCTACTCTGCTATGCAATCTCAAAGGAGGTACCAGAGAGGTGACTCTGCGGCTTCGTCTGCTCCATATGTGGTATGCCAAGAATCCTTCTGGGACAAGGGTGTTTAATCACTGTTGCCTCTAGGTAGATCAGACGGTAGATTCTCTTACGCTGATTCTTTGTGATTACAGTGCTTTCTGTTTTTTTGCTCTCTTTTTTCCTTCTTTGCTCTTTCTTTACTGTCTTTTTTTGTTTTTGATTCAGGGTATGCTCATTCAGAGCCTTGCTGATGTCTCTATTGGGTCTGAATTTGAGCGTGTGCTGCGCGTGGGAGTTATCTACGTTCTAAGGTCTTTTGGTCTCAGTGTCGCAAGGAATCTCTATCGTGCTTGCTCATTTGATCTGATAATAGAGTTGTCAGCAACAACCATTTTCCAGGCCTGTTCTCTACCTGCAGCTGAATTTCCAACTGATTCCTTTGAGGTTGTTCCTTATAGTGAGCTGTCTAACCGTTCAGGGGACAATCGTATCCTTGCAGGTGATTGTTGCGTTTTCTTGACTGAAATGAATTGGGTTTTATGTCTTCTTACTGCTCTTTTTTTTCGGTCAGATGTTGTCGGCCGTCTTCATTCTATTAGCGGGATTGATCATCTGGTTACTAATCACGGCTCGACTCCAAAACAAGTTCTGGTCCTTGAGAATGCACAGTAGGTCTTTTGTGTTATTTTATTTTTCCACTGGGGAATATTGTTTCGTCACCGTCACGTAAGATATGATCCTTTGTTTTGCTGTCAGGGGCCAGAGAGTGTCGATCACGCTTTGGAATGAACTGGCGGCAATCCTTGATCGACCTGCTTTGATTCAGGCGGACTCCATTGAGCCAGTGATCGTTGGAGTTGGGGGGCTCATGGTTGGCCGTTTGATAGGTGTGTATTTTGACTCTTTTCCATTCTGCTTGATCATAAATTGTGAACTGATTTTGTTTTTGTTGTGTAGCTGGTGAATATTCCTGTTCGAGCTCCTCTGGAACCCGTATATTTATTAGCCCGAGGATACCAGAAGCATACAGTCTCGCTGCTTTGTGGGTTCTTTGTTGTTAAACTGTGATTTTGTTGTTCCAGATTTGCTTTGTGGTGTTTGGTTTGCTTTACTTTTTTGTGTCCATCTATACAGTTTTGGTGGATCCAGAGTTCCTGTTGCTGATTTGCCGGTCAAGTTTGCGACCCCAGGGGACGTTGTTGCTGATGCTGAGCGGAGAACCAGGACCATAGCTGAGCTTCTTGATTTGCACCATGGCGGTGCTTCTGTCGTGAGTTGCATTTTGATGTAGTTCTTGATTTTAGAATGGTCATCGGGTTGTCCATTTATTTATGTTTGTTTATTGCTTTCTGGGATTATCAATGTTTATATTCAGGATGAAAAGCATCGTTGCGGTGGTATAGTCCGGTCAGTTGAGTCCCGGAGCCCGTGGTATTACATGTCATGCAGCATGTGCAGAAAAAAGTGTTCTACGTGACGAAATGGTAACTACTGGTGTCCTGACCATTGGGAGATCACTGAGCAGCAAGTGACAGTTGGGTGTGTGTTTTGTCTGATCATTAGTTGTTGTTTTTATTTATTTCAATTGTGTGCCTGTCAGGTCTTAGAGAATTTGCCTACTTTTTTTAGTTTGCACTCCCACGCCTATCCTGATGGAATTGTCTCTGTTTTTTACTGTGTCGTCTCTAGCTACAAGATCCAATTGACCCTGCGTGATGCCACTGACGAGGCCCCTTTCATTATTTTCGGCCCGTGTGGGAACAATTTGGTGCTCACATCTGCCCAACTGCTGGCCTAGAGATATCCTCACAGGTCTGGCCAGTTGCCGTCTGAACTTGAGGCTTTGCTCGGCCAGTTTGTCAGGTTTGAGGTCAAGCTTCCGATGGTTGGGTCAAGTGGAGTATCTACGGGTGAATTCCGTGTTTTCCGAGTTATGCCCCGTGATGTTCAGGGCCCAGTGCTTGGTCTTACAGGAGTTCCAGATGTCACAGGCAGTGTTTCTTCGTCCCAAACCCTAAGTCAGTCCTATTATGGTAAGGAAGGAATGTTGATGCTGCCTGCTCCAGGTGTACCTTTCGCAACTTCAGCTTCTACTGCCATACCATCTAGGTGAGCGTTGTTTGCTCTATTGTTATGTTTGTGTTAGTTAATTACGGGGGTTTAGGTATGGGTTTGGGTTCTTCTAATTATTAATCTTTGCTATTACAAATCTAGCTCATCCAAAGGAAAGGAAAAGGTTGTTGATTCAGTGTCACCTGGAGGGACGAATCCAACATTCCAGATTGGCCAGGTAGCAGGGTTGCCTCTCAGGTAACACATTTGGACTGTTTTACTTGATTTGGTATTGATCGATTAACCTGTGCTTTGTTGCTGTTGTTGCATGGTAAATACTTATGTGCTCATTTGGCTCTTGCAGTTCATCTCAAGTTCCTTTGGCAATCAAGGAGAATGATGTTGTGTCCGACGTGATTTCGCCAAATTTACTGCCTCCTGTTTCATCTATTGCACCTTTGCTTTCTGTTGCTGATGTGAAAGGAAAAGGAACAGGTCCAGGGGCGACTGTTGTGGCAGCTCCTTTTACCATTGCAGATCGTTTGAAGATCTCTAATATCCAGTCAGTTGGTGCTGTGAAAGGTGCAGTGGGGACTCCTGGAACTCTGAGTGATGGTATGGATGTGATGAGTTCTACTAGCCAGGGAGTACATGGATTGTCATCCATTGCTGGGCTGGGTTCTGAAACTCCTCAGAGTAAAATCAGCAAGTCATCTTCGGTAGTTTCGCCTTTGTCTTCAAGGAGTCTGTGAGTTTTTTACTTTTAAACTTATCGTGTCATGGTTATAGTGCAGTCGGAATTTATCGTTTTGGTCTTTGACAATGCAGCTTGATATCACCTCTGGCTAAGGTGAAGATTGAGAAGCTGGAATCTTCTGGAACTGGATCTCCTAATGTGAGGCAGGATGATGAGCAAACAGAAAGTTCGTCCCCTTTTTCGCTTGCTGACCAAGATTCACACCGGGCGCCTGGGAAGCCTTCCGCTGCTAAGCGTCGCCTGTATGAATCTTAGGGTATAAATTCAAGTCTGATCCCTTTGTGTGTTATTTATTAGTTTTGAATGTTGATTGGTTATGTTATTTACTGGATCTAAGTTATGCTAGGTGCAGGAAAGGTGGTTGCCTTTTGTGGATGTTGGATTTGCTGCAAGGAAGAAGTCTTTGATGGTGGGCAAGATGATTATGTTGTTGATCGTTTGAAGTTGTGCTGGTTGGAGTGTTTGCAGCTCTTTTGTAAACTTCTGGGGAACCTGTTTGTGAACTTTGTTCTTGCCTTTCTTGGCTAATATTGGCAACTTTGTGGAAATTATGTTGTTGGTTTCTAGACAAAACTAATGGTACTTCGGGTATCTGTTTATGAGGTGTAAGTTTTAAGTGCATGTAATTTTCTGTGCAAAATCAGGGTGGTCAGTTTGGACACCTGAAATGTTGTGACCCCAGTGTGGGCAAAATTCTGGCCTTTTGGTCCCTCTTTTGTAGAATGTGAATGCTCAGCAGTTTTTATGTATTATCAAGGAATATAGTTTTTATCTAAGGTGCCTATGTTTTACATTTATGTCTTAACTATATGTATATGCAAATATCACAAAAATGTTCTTTACATCATGTGATGGGAAAGAGTAAGCATTGTCCACAAGAAAAATATGATAAGAACATGCGAGATT